GAGAAGAACCAATAAGAACTTTTCTGTTAATCCTCCTTTCATTGGAAGTGCAAGGACGGCTACACTTTAAACAGTATAGAGACCTGCCTCTTAACAAAATGTTCAGTGAACTGTAGTGGCAAGTATTGTTCATATTACAATTAAACATATATTTCGATGCTCTGGAAAAAAAGACTGTGATGCACATGTCTTGCATGAATTGGTGCATTTCCAGCACCATTTTAATTCTAGTGACTAGAAGACAATTAACATTTCTACTCCTGTATTTACCTTCCAATATTCATTTCTTAAAGTCTTATCAAAATTTTTATATTTTTGTATTACTCACACCATACCAAGTAAGGAGGTGGTCTTATTTTCTAAGACTTTAGTTCCATTAACTGAAGATTGTTACATTAGGGAGTGACTGTATGATATCATAGAATAATGTTACCATATCATCAACATATTACTCTTTTTAGAAAATTATTTTTCTTCTGAAATCTGATTATTCCTACATAGCTTTTACTGATTAATACCTTAAGATGAATAGGGATCATACTTTATTTTAGTTACTCACCCAGTAACTGGAAGTTCTATCAAAAAGTATCCACAGAAGCTCTGGTAGTCCAGCTAGCTAAGGACTAAAGAAAACAAGGACTTCTGAAGTTAGGTAGAAAAAGCAAGCCACACTACTTTTAATGATCTTGGGACCAAAAAGAAGCATGCATGATTCATTTTCTGATTTAGATGATGACCTGCTTTATGATCTTAAACAAGTTTCCTTTCTCTTATGCATTCAGTATTTGCTTTTACTCTGTGGCTGTCAAGGACTTGCACACATGCTTTAACATAATATACAGGAATCTTCCAGTGCCTTCTATGTGATTACATTATCTGAAGAAATTTATATGAAATAATTTGTATGAAGATAAATAAAACTGAACGCAACCTTATAAGGGCTTTAGCTAATTAATTCTTTAGGGGTATAACATATATATGCACACATATACATGTATAAACCCACATAATTAATTCTTTCTTACTTCAAACCATGTAAAATATCAAGTGCATTTTGAAAAACAACAACAACAAAAAAAAAGTATTGGTGATCAGATTAACTGCAAAGGTCTGGTGAGTGATAAGAATTGCCTTTATTTTGAAATAGTTTCAAAGAGATTAAATCAACCACAAAAGTAGTTCTAAGGTAAAACTACTAAGGTATTAAAGTTGTAAGGTATTAAATGTAAGGTATTAAATGTAATGTAAGGTATTAAAGTTGCCATTAATTATTGCTAAGAGGAAAACAAAAATCATGTGCTGAAGCGTTTAATTTGTTCACGTATCAGATAACATTCATTACCTGAATAACTGAAATCAGTTTTCTACATGTATTCACTGATTTTGTATGTGGCTGAATAAAGATGATATTGCCTGATTAAAAGATAGATAAGTCTTCCAAAGCTTTGAAATGACTTCTCAGGCCTTGTGCAATGAGATGTGCCTAGATCCTAGAAAGAAAAGAAATAGAATCACTCAGTAAAACTTTTGCCTTTAGTCTGCTGAAACGAGAAAGGATATATCTGGAAACCCCATTCCATTGTTTTTATCTGTAATCAGTCTTTAATTGTTATTTCTAGTAAAAGGGCAGATTCTTTGCACATGGGGGGTAGAAGATACCTTGCCATGTGTCTAACGATATGTTTGAGTCTCAGTTCACATTGGTGCTGACAATCAATTGCAGCTCATAAGTACCTCATTATTCAAGCTCAAGTCTGTAGGGCCAAACAGCTTTCACACTGTTTCTTGTGAATAAATGAGTCACTGGGGAGTGAATCAAGTGTGTTCTACTGCGAAGTCTTGCTACACTCATATGAAACATTTTTTTTTTATTTAAAAAAAAAAAAAGTACTGTTGGATTTTCCCAGTACCTACTATTTTTGGAATATTTATCTCCCACATACTGTCCTTAGAGCTCAAGAAAAGAAAGCGTCTAATCACTAGTCCCAGAATTCTGCTTTAAATACTCAACTACAATATTTTACTACAATGAAATTACTGGGCCAATTCTTAAAAAAAAAAAAAGATGCAAATTATTAAAGTTTAAACAGGTGTAAATTGATACTCTTTTATTAACTTTAGAGAAGAAGCTCTGACCCATAATAAAACCAAATCCTAAAACCTACTCCATTTGTTTTGTTTGGGTACAAAAACAGAGTTTTTAGACATGCTTACAAATAACAAGCTGATGGGCGTATTTGAAAATAAGCCAACTTATTTTATACTGCAACTATATTATACTTATTTTGTACTCCAACTATATTATACTGCAAACCCTACAGTATTGCAGGGTTTTTTGTTGGTTTGTTTTGGTTTTCTTTCTTTAAACTTTGTTTTCTACTGGTGGAGGTGTTTTCTGAATATTAGGTGATATTCATGTTGTTGTGATTAATGCTTCTGGGTGTGACAGGTTAAGGCCCAGTGTGTTGATAGAATACATTTATACTTGTCAAATATATCTAAAAGAAGTAGTTCTAGCAGGAGGTAGTATTTTGTAATAGAATGGTGGAAATATGTCAGTCAGCAAGGGTTTATTATCTTTTTTAAAATAACATTTTGAGATTAGTTTTTATGCAATTTACTTTTTTTTTTTTCTCATTTTAAGTATAGATGTGAAAGTAGAGGGCTTGGTCTTAAGTTTTCTCCTTATAAGTGTATACTTTAATTCTGGAGAGAGATCAAGGGCAGCATAAAAAGAAAAATGGAAACAGCTACACTGAAAATTAAGAACCCAAAAAAGAATATCATCTGTAAAGGACTGATGATAAAATACAGCAATTGTGAATCAAAAGCTTCCCTAAAAATTATGTATTGGATTAATTGTTGTGTTTCCTGTTTTAAAGTAACAAGTAGGTAATGTAAAAGTAAATTAACAGGGAAAGGCACAAAGGAATATATTTCTTACATTATCTTTCTGTGTGTTAGAAGCATTAGACCTTTCCTATCCTACTAGTAAGCTCATTTTTGGAAGTGCATGAAGAACAGAACATTGGGGAAAATGGCACTGCATTGATCCATGCAAATACAAGTTTAATTGTCTGAAATCCCCTCTTCTATTAGGGTCATTTACAGTAATGTATAACATAACATGCTGATCATCTCTTAAATATTTAAGCCAGTAATGCTGCCTAGATGTGCCTTTCATTTCTCTCTTCACTTGTGGCTATCATGATTACTTCCATCAAAGTTTAGTTTCTTTTTTCATATTTCTCTGGAAACCTCTTGATCTCATCGCATTACTTGTTTCCCTCCCTCTGTTAAATTCTTCATGTATTCCTATCTGATACTAATTTCTTCCTCTGGTCCAATGCATAGTCAAGAGAGTAATTTATTCATCTCCAGTAGTACCACTGAAATCACAGAAGTACTTGATGGCCTGATTTATTAAGGCACTTGAGGTCAGTGCCTTAAGTATGTGCTAAAAATGAAGCAAATGCCTGCATGACCTGCAAAGGATTAGTCACCTGCATAATGGTTTCCAGGGTCCTTAAAAATGTGAACTTGTGGAGCAGATTTGCTACTGGTGTAAGGTTAGAGCAGCTGTATTGAAATCTAAATGATGCTGACAATGCTTTCAGTGGCATTATGACAAATCTACACCAAGCCTTTCCCTTTTCTTGTCTTGTGCCATGCTGATACATTATGATATGCCAAAAATAAAAATCAAAGGTAGGAAAAAGCTTTTACCATTTTCAGATGTTTATATGCAACTTAGTGATTAATAGGACTATTAGCATCTCAATAAAAAAAAATGTACAACAGCATATCTTTATTTTTTTTTTTGCATTTGATTTTGTAGTGTCATACTGTCATGTTCTTTCACATTTGCTTGATAATAGGATATCTGTGGTGTCACTGCTAATGCGAATAGGAATTGCAAATCAGATTAAATAAAACTTGAGTAACCCCAGGTTTGCAGGTTAAATCATTTCATATGCTATAGATGATGTGTGTTTTGTATTAGGCAACTGCAAGAAACAAGGAGTCGTATTTTCCTTTCCTCACTATGACTGTGACCAGTTCTTCCTGAGGAGAAAAATATTTTGTGTACAGGTGTTTCTTTCTGTGTATAGGTGTTTCTTTCTTGTTTCTCCTTGTAAATGGTGCCCCTTCCATTCATGTAAAATAGTTTGATTATGAGGGTGTATCTTGGCTGGTAAAATGTTCTGAAAATTAAAGATCTCCTGCAAATACATCATTCTGCATGAATTCATAATTTTTATATTGTATATCTTTTTAAAGTCATAACCAGAAAGTTAATTCCAGAATACAGGAAAATATTTTTAAGTTTTTAGGATGTATTACAGGCTTTTCTATAGGGCTTTTCAATTATATTTAAAACATTCTCTTTGACTTTTTTTTTTTTTTTTCTAAAGAAAGTTCTGTTTTAGGGGCAGCATTATTGCATTTCAGAAATAATATCCTGTAAAATGCCTATAACAAGGTATTTTAACTGAAAGCCCATTGTAGCTTTCTTATTATGATTTCAAGCTTCTGCAACAATAAAAGTGTTCTTATTCAAATGTATATCATTGCATTCATACCTTTAATAGCAGCATTCCATCATATCAACCTATAAATAGGCAAAGAAACAATTGCACAGAATACTTGTTATTCATCTTCAATATTTTTTATTTCATTGTTAGGTATCAGACTTTGGAATACTCTTATGGAGTATCTGCATTGAATAGAGAAGAAAAAAGTTATTTCCTTGGAGCTTACACATACTTTCTATCTGTATTTCCTTGTGATATAAAAAATTTATAGTTTTAGTTCCATTGGTCATTTTTATTGCCTTCTTGAAGACAATGAAAATCACACAAGGCTTCAAATAAAAGCATCTCCAAGCGTAAATTAAATCTAGGGTGTAGTCTTTTGTAAGCAGAGAAGAATGTACTCTTAGATAATACATCTTTTTTTTACTGTATATCAATAAGATGTCTATTTTCTTTTCTTCCTAGATACACCTTTAGTTAAAATCATTTCTTCCAATTCATGGCCCGAAGAAGGACAATCTATAATTTTGACTTGTGAATCCAAAGGAAAACCAGTGTAAGTGATTTAACAAGTAATATGTTTTGTTATTTTCTTTATTCTGCTGTGATTGCAATCTTCAGCTGCAAAAATCTGCTGTTTTTGTCTTGTCCTGGGGTGTAATGTAATCTCTGGGATAGAAATCCCCTTGAAGCCTGTCTTCATTAAGTGTCTATAGAAGATTGGTCTTTTACTTTGTCATTTATTTTAGTTTTCAGGAAGAATTCCAGCTGTGATTTTTTTATTATTATTATTATTATTATTATTTTCAGTCAGGTGTATCAACCTGAAAGGAGTACAGGCTTAATCAGTCACTGTTTACATCACTGAACTGATGGTAGGAGAGAGAATGTCTCATGAAAATCTTCCCACATCAAGTAGCCTCAGAGAAAATATATTGAACCTTCTGGATTCTTTAGCTGTCACTTACAAGGGAATTTGAAGTTTAATGACATGTGCAAGTTGGCTACTTGTTTCTGCTGGAGTTTTAAAAGATGTAGTCTGCTTTAAGAGTAAAAACTGTTTTACTTGGAATTTAACATCTCTGCCACCAATATTTTTAAAGGCAGGTCTGCAAAGATTAACTCTTGCATAGAATCTACTATTTAAATAGACATCTCTTGTTAAAATAGCATCTTCTCTGATGAGCTGTTATGCATTTACCCATGAAGAAATATAAATAACCATGTTGCTTAATAAGAATGAAATTTCTTAAACATGAACCTACTACTCAAAAGATTAATATGGTAATGGTGATCTGCAGCTTTAGAATGATCTCAAAAATAATAGTGCAAATGTGTTTTATTTCTGGAAAGGGTGCAAACTATGTGCCCAAAATCACGTCACTTGAGGAAGATTTTCTCATTGGTATAATTTTATTGACTTCATAGAATTGCTTAATATAGGTATCTTAAGTCAGATTTAGGTAGAATCAGGCATTTAACTCTGAAATTTCTGTTTTGAAATCATTTAAACTCCCTAAGTACCTTTCTTTTATAGATGATATGCCTGTATCATTTTAAAGTAACTCTTGATTTTGACTGAGCTGATAAACACAGCATCTAGATCATGCTTCTACCCTACCTGAGACAAGAACACTAAGGTTCCTTCATAGTAGGTCTTATATGGTGCTTAATGCAATTGGTCTTCAGTGTACCTATGTGCTTCTGAGTTACCGTGTGTTTCTGAGATACCTATATAGGTATCTCACAAAATTCATATGCAACTACCTTTTGTCTTTAGTGTATACTTGAAGGAGAAAGAATTTATCTTTGAATATTCCCCTAAGTATCAGGGGATACAGAGTCGGTGAACCCATTACTTTCAAATTTAGTGGAAGATATGCAAGAGTTTAATTTTAGGAAAAAGATCAGCCATGACTGCCCTGAGTTGCAATTTGGTAGGTAGTATTTAGGGTTTTCCCTATCTTGGTGTTTTCCACATGACTTAACAGGTGACAACTACATGCTGAGTTCTCTGTTTGGTATATTGACTTCGGGGATCCTAGCTTCAGGAGTTTGATTTTCACTATTGATTTAACATTCACAATAGGGGTAAAAACTTAGAAGTAAGGCGGCCATTACAAACTTTTAATTACCTGTTGTTTGTTTCAGGGGAGGGCCAGTTTGGCCCTTTACACTTGGAGTCTTTAAATACTAAGAAAGTTTGGAGGTTATCTGTTGATTTCTTCATTTTGGAATGTATAGTTTTGTGAGACAGATAGCTGGATGATTGGACAAATGGATGAAATTGGGGGGTGAGGGGAAAGAGGGTGTGGCTGTAGAGATCAGGTACATAGTAACAACTAAGTGTTCTAGTCCTCCATGTTCACTTACCTCTGAGTACTGGAACAAAGAGGCATGATGCTTTTCAGTTTCTGAAGGTGTGGAAACTATCTCAACTGTCTTTAAACATCTGTACAGTACATATTTGCATCTGACTCACATGGGCTTCTGCTACTTTTTCTCTGCTGACTACATGGAGTTAGATGCTAACTTAGTCAGATTTCTACCTCTGTATTTTGGGATACCAAAGATAGATGTCTAAATATAGATATCTATATCTATATAAAATTTAATATCTATGTTTATTTTTGGTTAGCTTCATCTTGCTCTTTATCTATGACTTATAACCACATTTTCATAATCTTTACTGAAAATGGGCTAACATTTTTTCACTTTTTTTTTTTTTTAACAATAATACTATTGTTAAAAAGAGGCAATAGATTTTCTCACATATTAGATTTTCTTCAAGACACCAGTGTTTGTGACTCATTTCTGAAGGCAGTAAAGAACTATGAAATTTGTATGTTTTAGCTTGACATACAATATTCTGTATTTAGTACAGTAATATTGTAGATATTTTTATATGTTATCATTAGGAGATACTAATTGAAACTCAATAATTAAAAAGCATCTTCAATTGAGATGCTTACCGAGTTTTTTATTATTTTTTAATATTAATTTAGAAGAAAATATTTTTGAAGAAAACTTAGTTGCAGCCTTAATGGATTCAACTAGAATATTACATATGGCTGTGAAAGGGGAGCCAAATAAAATTCTGCACCATGGAGAGCACCTCTCAAGGCAAGGCACCTCTATACAGTAGCTTTTGGAGCCCAAATATTTGTGCCCATACATGCACCTCTGATTGTCCATTTCACAAGAACTGCCTACATCAGCTATTCTGTATTGCTTCAGCCTTTTACGGAGCAAAGCCAGTAAAAAATAGGCATCCTCCTGGGAGCAGTTTGCAGTTGCTTAGCACGAGAAACAGTAATGTAATTCTCCCAGCCTACATTAAGATTAACTTCTGGTAAGATATTGGAGAGGTCCACAGAGCCCAAATACTTCAGTGTCAGAAGATAAGTGATGTGCTGTAGGCTTCACGGAGAGCTCAGAGCCAGATGTGGTCCTTCATAGCCATTTACACACCATGGGTTAATTTCTGTCCACTGTCCACTATCCACTGTCAACTCTCCTGTTTCCTGTAAGTAGCAGTGACTCATACCATTAAGCGAACATTTACTATAGGTACACTTCTCTCTATCTCAGAGCAGTTTTCAGAATGTTAGAGATGAAAATGAAGAAAGAGTGAAACAGGCTTGTAGCTGTTGTGACATTCATGATACAGATGGCTGCTGCAGAGTACTTCTTTTACAAAAGGGAAAGGCAGAATGAGGCTAAAGCTGGAGTATACTCACCACATCTTTACCTTTTGCCAAGCCCTTCCTGGCAATGATTATGTCCTTCATGCTATGTGCATCATGGATTCCTTCATACTGCCTTTCAAAGCCACAACACAGTTCTAAAGAAAAGCCCTACCTAACTTAATGCCTTGTAGCAGGGGTTGGGAGGGAAGCCTTATTCACACTAACATCTCAAGGAAATCAGCTGCCCTCTGCATCCCCTTTCAAAACAAAATCATCCAGAGATTTATCAGAGAAGTGGGGAACAACAGTCTACAATGTGTAAGAATTGGAGAACTAAGGCTTCAAGGTATAAGTTTTGGGTTGACCAGCTGGTGGCCATGGCTTTGACAGAGATTTAAAAAAAAAAAAAAAGTCTCAGTCACTTGGATGTGCGTAGCATAGGTTGCCGTAATGTGTTTAGACAGGCTCCCAAACTCTGACGCTTCTAGCTGCTATGTGTGGAAGTGCTTCTCCTCACATTTCTGGTCTTTGACCAGATAGAGAATTGTTGGAACAGGAGTGCTGAGAGTGGGCTGAGGGGGGAAAGAGAAGTGGGGATGTAGAAGAGGGAGTAGAAAAGGAAGATAAAAAGGCAAATGAACCATTCTGAATGAGCCAGTGAGGCAACATGAGAGAGTATAAGAGGAGATCTTCAAGGTCTGTGACTGTGCTGTTTTTCCTCTCTGCTTATCACTGTGAGGATGAAGATAGCTCTGATTCTGATAGTGGTCCTATGCTTATTAATATTAGGGGAATTACATTGGAGGCAGGAGTTGTTCTTCTGGGTAAGCACTGGATTACTATTATAGCAGAGTGGTGATACCAGTAAAAAGAATGGGACAGGTTTCCTGCCTGTTTTGTAACGATTTTCCAGAGGCAGGCTCTGTGGTGGATTACTAAAGTGTCGCAGATTGTTATATGCCCTGGCACAGTTCCCTCTGGAATACGTGTTGTGGCTGGTGAGGCATCAAGCGGAGGCAGGATGCCTCAGAGGTGACAGAGAAGTTACTGCTAGAGCTGTTAGTCTTTGGGTTTGCCTTTTTGGGCTCTGAGGTGACATGTTTCATAACACCAGTCCCACATGGCGTGGATGACTTTACTGTTAACAATATCAGAATGGGAATGGTAAGGTGGTGAAGTGGCTTCCTCACACAGTGTCTTTGAAAAGGTCTCTTGCTTCTGTGTGCAACTCTGGCTAAGTTTGTTCCCTTCAGGATCTACTTTCAAAACTTGAGTGTTCTCTAAAAATTTCAGGTTGCACACATGGGTTTAGACCTCATGATTTGATGTTTGGGCACCAGTTATAGACCGCTGTGGAAGGCTGTTTTGGGGAATATTATATGTATAAGGAGACAACATTCTCAATTAAAATGTTGTGATGGTAGAAAAGAAAAAAGAAAATAACAACCGTTACTTTACCACAAAGACTATTTTTTAAACAGACCTTATAAAAATAACTCACTATGGAAACGTAATATTTGAAGTGAAATTTAGCTAGCATTTGTGAGGATTGTTGTCTGTTTGATGTCCAGCTGGCAGACCAAATTTGAAAGTTTTATTTTGAAAAAAAATTCAAAATTGAAAAAAAAATGCAAAAATTTGAAAAAATGTTCATTTTTCAAAGAACAAAATTTAAATCAGCTCCAGAAATAACAGATCTCCTTTTTCTGAAGTCATATTCAATGTCTAGATGTTTCTGTAGACATATTGCCAGAAAATATTTTATTAAAAAAAAAAAAAAGCTGTAAAAATATAAACCAAAAAAAAGTTTTCAAAAAGGTTTTGAAAAGCCTGTGCTTTTTAATTGCAAGTTATAGCTTTTATGTAC